GCTCACTTGTCTTTTTTGCTCTCTGAGACATCTGGTGGTTTTCTGTAAACACCTATCCTGCTTAACAAACACACAAAAGTTTTTCTTAAAGCTGTATTCGTAACTAGCACTATCAGCCTGAAGCTTACTTTTAGTGTAATTAAATAGACATTTAAAGTAATACTGAATTTATTCTAGGAAGGTGCTGCTTTTTTTTTTTTTTTTTTAACATAAAGAAGCATTGGTTTTAGGAACTCAGGTTTTCATTATTTAGCAGCTATTCATCGAGCATTTACTATGCATGCAGCAGTGAGCTAGAGGCTAAACCAAACCAAACTCGATTCCCACTCATTGCAACCCTACAGTACAGAATAGAACTGCCCTATCGGATTTCCAAAGAGCGGCTGGTGGATTCAAACTGCCAATCTTTTGGTTAGCAGCCAAGCTCTTACTAGGTAGAAATTTATTCGTGATAATAGCAATAGCCAGCTTGCAAAGTGCCAGTAATTATACTGAATAGTTTACCTCTATCATACCATTTATTCTTCACAGCAACCAGCCCTCTGCAGTGGGTGCTGTTCTTTTTCACACTTTGTAGATGAGCAGGTTGATGCCCTTGGAGATTTTAAGTGACCTCATGGTCAAAAAATTGTATGAAAAATCCTGCCTCTCATCTATTTGTTCACTCAACAGTACTTATTGAGCAATTTCAATGTGTCAGGGACCATGATTGATTCTCAGGATAAAGTGACAGACCAGGCAGAAACCCTCATGAAACTTACAGATTAGCAGGAAGGCAGGCAAATTAAACATATAATTATGATAAAGTGTGATAACTGTTCTGATAAACAAGGAGGCACTCAGCCAGACAAAGTTAGGTGAGTAAAGGAGTGAGGGGAGGTTTTTGTGCAGGAGGAACATCATATTTGTAACTGGTCACAAAATTAATGACACTACACTTGGACAGGGGCAGTGGTGGTTCAGTGGTAGAATTCTCACCTTCCATGAGGAAACCAAAGCTCAATTCCCAGCCAGTGCGTCTCAAGTGCACCCACCACGTCTGTCAGTGGAGGTTTGTGTATTGCTGCTCTGCTGAACAGGTTTCAGCAGAGCTTTCAGACCAAGACTAAGAAGAAAGGCCTGTTGATCTACTTCTGAAAATCAGCCAGTGAAAACCCTATGGATCACAATGGTCCGATACCATTGTATATGGGGTCACCACGAGTCAGGGGCTGACTCGATGGCAGCTAACAACAATAATAACAAACACAGAGAACCTGTAATTTCTTCACTGTGCCTATAACAAATATGATCTCTCCCCACACCCTTACCAACTTGCTAGGGAGGAAAGCACAGCTCAGTCAGATCTAATAAATCCGTAAATCCTTTTAAATAGAGTTCAGTCTCTCTTGGATAAAACTGCTTGCTCTGTCTCTTAGATGTCCCCCACCCCTCCTTCTCTCCTAAGATGTACTGTCTGTACAGGGTAAGGCATGGCTTATAAGACCTTGTGGCAGGGGAACAGATAGGAGCCTCAGGCAGAGTTGGTCTCTTGAGTAATCTGTCTTTGTCTGCCTGACTGCTAAGTGCTCTAGTGGCCCCCCATGCTGAAGTTTGCGTCTGCTGAACTTGTGGTCAGTCCTCCTGGTACAGGTAGGGCTTCTAGTAGTCTTTCCTGGCAGGTTAAGGCTCAGGTTGGCTCCAGCTGGAGCTGACAACACTCTGAGGTCTGCTTGTGACTTCTATTCAGACCTGGTCCAGATGATCTGCTCTGTGGCCTTGTTACCCATCCCCTCATCCCCTGAGCAACCCCCTCTAGAAAGCCCCTAGCCAAATTCTCAGTTCCTTCTGCTGGGTTTGTGGAAACTAATGGTAAGGGTCTGGGAAAGGTAAACTTGGGTCCTCTGTATACCTCATCACTCTGTACCTCCAATGTAACTACAGTGTGGCTCACTCCAGTCTGGATTGGGGCAGACTATGAAGTAGCCTCTTTCTCCAGCATCCAATGAGGGTGGGGAGAAATGTGAGGGTGAGAGAGCCTTTCTGCCTTCATGGTCATCGTCATTTATTTAAAGCTCATCTCCCTCTCCTGCCTTTCTCCATTTCTTCTTTCCATAATACCCTAGAATTGGAAAGATATACGTTTCCCTCTTCTTTTTTCTGTCTATTCTTTCTTACATGAAACCATATGGTTGCACCCTGGAAATTCCCTCTCTATATGCTAAAGAGAAGATAAAGCAGTTCATACAGATCTTTCTTAAGAGATAGCGTTGGCTTTGCTACAAATTCCTATTTTTGAGTGTTCAATGCTGAATACTACCTCAGTCTTTTTCCTGCATTCCTTCTCGAATAAATCCTAATCTCCTCCAAGACAGAGAGACTTGTATCCTTTTCTGAAAATCTGATTTAAGCATAAAGTGAGGACTTTGATTTGCAGCTTCATTGTGGAGTTTGAGGTTTACCACATCTTATTCCTTCTGCCCTTGAGAAGCTTCACTACACTTATCAGGTTTTAATATGAATTAAACTCATATTAAACTCATATTGAAACCTACAAGTCTTATTGGGTGAACTGAATTCATGTCCTCTTACTATGGAAAATAAGAATATAAGCATTATATGCAAATACTATCTTTTTAATATCAGAGACTAGGTAATCCTTTATTAGGCTGAAAAAAAAAAAAAAACAGTTGCCATCAGCTCAGGCAACTCACATGTGTCAGAGTAGAACTGTGCTCCATAGGATTTTCAATGGCTGATTTTCAGAAGTAGATTGCCAGGCCTTTACTCTGAGGGCACCTCTGGGTGGATTTGGAAGCTTCAACCTTCAAGCTAGCAGCCAAGTGCGTTAACTGTGTGGACCACTCAGGCACTCCTTTAATAGGCAACTGGCCCTCTTTTCTAATTATTACTATCAGGAAAATCTTCAAATCAATAAATCTAAAACCAAAGCTCTCATTTTGCTAGCTATCCAACTTATGGCTACTGTATAAAGATATCACATAAAAGGTCCGTCTTATTTATTATCTAAAACCAAAAACCAAACCAAACCTGTTGCCATCGAGTTGATTCCAACTCATAGCGACCCCATAGGACAGAGTAGAACTGCCCCATAGTGTTTCCAAGGAGCACCTGGTGGATTCAAACTGCCGACCTTTTGGTTAGCTGCCATAGCACTTAACCACTACACCACCAGGGTTTCCATTTACTATCTAGGTATATGTTTTAAATCTAGTTTATTTTGGAGGGTATCTCAGGAAGTTACTTTCTCAAAGCTACTGGTTTACTAAGTTTTTCTTTAATGGCTGAAAACGAAGTTTACTTACACTTGTTTTAACAATATTCAGTCTATGCTTATTTATTGTACCTAGTTTTTAGAACAAAGGAATTATGAGATCTCAAATTAAATCTCAAGTTCTCCATTTGGATCCAACTTAGAGTGAAGTTAAAGTTATTTTCTGGGAAGAATCATGGCCCTGCATATGGAGCCGGGATGAGTGTTTTGCTGTTGTTGTCCTCAATTTCGGTCACCAGTATTCTAACCCAGCCAGATTGCTCAAGCACATAGTTCTGAACTCAACTGGCAACACAGACTAGTGGCACCCCAGTGATTAATCAAGAATTCACTGTCAGGCTCACTGCTGCTTAATAGTTTTCAAAAGTTCAGCTGAGAAAAACAATGTGCATGCACAGTGATTTAAGGATATGTTATTCATCTATCCCCCTTGAGATGCTCTGAAATTCATTCTTGCGTTCAGCCAGATCACTAGGCAACTACATACTTGGATGTTAAGGCAATTAATTTCTAAGATTAATCAAATAACTTCCTTGGGCTTCAGTTTCCAAAATGCATAATGAAGGTTCATTCATTCAACTAGTACTCAGTGGACTACTATACCCAAAACACTACAACTACAAAATAAAATAAGATCATAGTCCCACCTCTCAAGCCTCTATCTGTCCATCTTTCTAAGTATTTTTATCTGTCTCTACTTCTACATCTACCTACCCACCTACCTACCTACCTACTTATCTATCTACCTGTCTAGACCAAATAGGTAATAATAATTCTATATGACAAATGCAAAAATAGAAATAGACACAGGTTACAGAAGCATAGGGAGGGGCATCTTATCCAGCTAAAGTGCAGGGAAAAGGAAGGGAAGGATGACTGAAGGATATTGAGGAGTCCTGGAATAATATCACCCTCTCTCACAAGATTAGTGTACTAGCAAGTGTCAAACAAGAGGAAGTACAGGGGAGCACTGTCAAAACTGGAAAATTACTACCCAGACAAATGGAAGATGTATCAGCTATGGTGCCTTAGGCTGTAACATATAAACTCCAAAGTGGTTTAGTAAATATGAAAATTTATTATGTCACATAAAAAAAGTTCCAGAGATAGGGCAAGCTCCAATGCTGGTTGATTTAGTGGCTCAATTATGTCATTAAAGACCCGTATTCTTCTCCTCTTTCAGCTCTGCCTTTCTCAGGGTTGACTTTCTAGTCTGGAGGGAACGCTTCTTAGTAACAAAATGGCTGCAGCAGTTTCAGGCATCACAATAAGACCAGAGGATCCTGAAGAAGAAAGAGGCCATCTTTCTCCGTGTCTCCTACCTAAGGGGGAGGAAATTTCTCAGAAGACCTTTGAAGATTTCCCGTCCTACCTCTAAAACCTGGATTACATGCCCATTTGTAAAACCAGTCACTAACAAAGGCAATGGGATTGCCATTACAGGCTTAAAGTAATCATTTGGGGTGACTTCTGTTTTGGAGAGCTGACCCATATATTGCTACAATGGAGTTATGGGCACAAGCTAGCTGGCTTGAAACAAGTCACTCTTTCATCTGGTTATCTCTCATTTCTCAAATTAAAAAAAATCTCTTCACTTTATTATCTCAGTAAGATACTGATTTTTCTCTACTTTCAATGAACAGAAACAAACCTGTTGGAATTGATCAAATCATATCGTACTAGTTCATTATCAAGCCTAAACTCATGCATTTCAAACTAAACTTACCAAAATCTACTAGTTTAACTCCACCTTCAGTGGTCAAAAGGATGTTATTTCCTTTTACATCACGATGGATAGTTTTGTTGTTATGCAAATGCAGAAGTCCCTAGAAGTTGGGAAATACACAATGACTTTCAAAGAAAGCATTAAACAAGAAATATGATTTTTCAGATGGATACATTTATGCAAAATCAACAGGAAACACACGTTAAAGTTAACATTCAAACATCTTAAAATATTTCATATTGAGTTAGTCAAACCAAAGTGTACTATATAAAAACTCACAAAACCAGAGCTTTTACCAAATATTTTATAAAATGTTGATCTCAATACAAGAAAACATTCCATATACTTATTGGCAAATAAAATCCTAATTATTGCTAAAAAATACACATTATCTACCCTCATCACTATCACAACCCCAGAAATACTCTTAAGAGTTCAGAATTAGGGTTCTGTTGATACAAGGATAGATTTCTAATGGAAAGAGGAATTAGCTATGCTAAACATGTCATATTTTGCATATACTCTTGAAAAATAAATATTAACATAGCTATATTTTTCTAAAAATAAGATGTACTTTTTTTATTTTATTGTGTTTTAGGTGGAAGTTTACAGTACAAATTAGTTTCTTATTCAAAAATTTACACACAAATTGTTTTGTGACATTGGTTGCAATCCAGTAATGGGATAGCACTCTTTCCCTTTCCCTTTACACCTGGTCTCCCCATGTCCATTCTTCCAGGTTTCCTGTCTCTTCCTACTTCTTGTCATTGCTATTGGGCAGGTGTTGCCCATTTGATCTCTTATACTTAATAGAACTAGAAGCATGTTCCTTACATGTGTTATTGTTTGTTTCCTAGGCTTGTCTAATCTTTGGCTGAAAAGTGGACTTCAGTAATGGCTTCAGTTCTGAGTTATCAAGGTGTCCGGGGACCGTAGTCTCTGGGGTTCCTCCAGTCTCTGTCAGACCAGTAAGTCTGGTCTTTTTTTTGTGAATTTGAATTTTGTTCTACATTTTTCTCCCACTCTGTCCAGAACCCTGTATTGTGATTTCTGTCAGAGTAGGTGGTGATGGTAACTGGGCACCATTTAGTTCTTCTCGGCTCAGGATGGAGAAGGCTGTGGTTCATGTAGTCCATTAGTCCTTTGGGCTAATATTTTCCTCGTGTCTTTGGCTTTCTTCATTTTCCTTTGCTCCAGACAAGATGGGACCAATAGATGTATTTTAGATGGCTGCTCGCAAGCTTTTAGGACGCCAGATGCTACTCACGAAAGTAGGATGTAGAACATTTTCTTTATGAGCTATGTTATGCCAATTGACCTAGATGTCCCTCGAGGCCATGGTCCCCAGCACTCGGCCTCAGTAACTAGGTCCCTCAAGGTGTTTGGATGTGTCTAGGAAGCTTCTTTGGCTTTGCCGTGGTCAAGTTGTGCTGACTTCCACTATATTATGTGTTGTCTTTCTCTTCACCAAAATTAACATTTGTCTACTACCTAGTTAGTGATTTCCCTTTCCCATCCCTCCCCTGACTCATAACCATCAAATATTGTTTTTTTCTCTGTGCAAACGTTTTCTAGGGTTTTTATAATAGTTGTCTCATAAAATATTTGTCCTTTTGTGATTGACTTATTTCACTCAGCATAATGTCCTCCAGATTCATCCATGTTGTGAGATGTTTTGAGGATTCATCATTGTTCTTTATCATTGCGTAGTATTCCATTGTGTGTATTTACCACCATTTGTTTATCCATTCATCTGTTTATGGACACTTAGGTTGTTTCCATCTTTATGCTATTGTGAATAATGCTGTAATGAACATGGGCATGCATATGTCTATTCATGTGATGGCTCTTATTTCTCTAGGATATATTCCTAAGAGTGGGATAGCTGGATTGTATGGCGTTTCTATTTCTAGCTTTTAAAGGAGGTGCCATATCATTTTTCATAGGGGTTGTACATTTTACTTTCCCACCAGCATTTTTTATTTAACTAGAACTGCCTCATAATTAATGCAAAGACAATTTAAATCGTCTTACCATGAGTGCTTCATGTAAAATATAGGCAATTATGGGCTCACTCATTCTTTCACCCCTCTTCAGAAATCCTTTCACGAGATCAGTCACTGAGCCTCCATTGCACAACTATAAAAGAATATTTCAAGATGGATATTGAAATAGGCATGACATTTTAAGTTCTCACTATAAAAGGTTTTCCCTAAAGCGTTTTTTAAAAATTGTTCCGATTTGGTGTTTCAAATGATTACTCCCATCATCTTTACAGTTTCATAAATGAAATGAACGTATGAACTTGTACTTGAGTACAACAACTACAATAATCATGTGCAAACTTCACCAATTCTCATTGAAAAATTTTCCATCACCATAAACAGAATCTCAATGCTTCCTAAATGATGACTCCTCCTTTCCACCTCTCTCTCACTCCTGGAAACCACTAGTAAACTTTGGTCTCTATACCTTCGACCATACTAGATATTTCATATAAGACAGATCATACAACGTTTGTTCTTTTATGATTGACTTCACTCAGCATAATGTTTTCAAGATTCATTCATGCTGCAGCCTGTATTAGGACTTCATTTCTTTTTATGACTGAAGTAATATTGCATTATTGATTTCTGAAATTTTAATTAATAGTACAATAGATTCTTAATGCACAGTTATATACTATTTTATATGTGCATTAATTAAAAAACGTGTCCTCTCTGGCAAAATTTCAGGGTGCACTGATGTAAGGTTTACAAATAAGATTTTTTAAAAATTATCTTAAAATCATGTTTCCCAGGCTCTTCAGCCTCCACCCATTCCACACCCCAAATCAGGAGGAATCTAAATGGAAAAACAAAAGAGAGAAACATAGTCGGGGAATTTTTCACATTCTGGGTTCGCCAACTTTAAAACCAACCAACCAAACAAAAACATTACGTAACATTAAATCCCACATAAAAGGAGCTGTAGAACACAGAAACCTGTGCCACAAATATTGGTATTAGCAATGGAGTATGAGAGGGGAGATAACTGGGTAAATGGCTCCAGACCAAGAGAAGACCCCAAGGAAGCTCTGAACCCGTGACACCTTGATCCCCTGATCCCTGATCCTTTAACCTTTGCCTTTAGCTTTGCCCATTCCCCAGGGGCTTCTGTCCGTGGTCTCCCTGCCCTCAGCCTGCCCTGTGGCCTTCTATCTTACCACCTTTAGTTTTCACCACCAGTGCCTGAGAACTAAAAGAAAACCAAACCTGTTGCCGTCGAGTCGATTCCAACTCATAGGGATGCTAGAGGACAGAGTAGAACTGCCCCATAGGATTTCCAAGGAGCAGCTGGTGGATTCAAACCGCCTACCTTTTGGTTAGCAGCCATAGCTCTTAACCACTGCAGGAACTAAAAGAGTCGCTGATTTCCCTGACTCTCTTATAAACCAAAAGCAGTCAGAGAAAGGAGGTGAGAGGAGGTATACCTCTAGCACCCTAGTCTGAAATACAGGCAGTCCCAAGGTTATGTATAAGACCTATTCCTATGTTTGTCTTTAAGTTCAATTTGTAGGTAAGTCGGAACAGGTACATATGGTTCTTATTTAGCATCAGTTAGTCAAATGTTTGCCTCAATATATAGTATATATTTTACCTTTTTATGCATATAAAACACTTAAGAAAAACTTCCAAACTGTGCAATGTTTTCATGAGCGTTATTATGAACCACTGTATTTAACTCAAATTTTTAATATAATAGGCTTTATGGCAGTCCGTTCTTAAGTATGAGTTGTCTGTAAGTTGTATGTTTCTAACCCGGGGACTGTCTGTACTGAATACATTTTCTGATATGGTAATTAGATTTTTACCATGTGGAGGCCTGAACACTTCTCGTATATTATGGATTAGATAATAAGAGCTAATGTTTATCGACCACTGACTTTGTGCCGGGCACATTTCTAAACCATTTATGTGAATTATCTCTAATCCTCACCACTCTGTGAAGCAGGTATTATTCCAAAACCAAACCCACTGCTGGAGTCGACTCCAACTCACAGCAGCCTTGTAGAACAGACTAGAACGGCCCCATAGTGTTTCCAAGGCTGTAAATCTTTATGGAAGCAGACTGCTACATCTTCCTTACGCAGAGTGGCTGGTAGGTTTAAATGGCCGACCTTTCAGTTAGCAGCTGAGTGCTTCAACCAATTTGCCACCAGGGCTCCTTAGGTATTATCATCTCCATATTAAAGAGGGCCCTGGTTGCACAGTGGTTAAGCACTCTGCTGCTAACTGAAAGGTCAGTGGTTCCAACCTACCAGTCAGCTGGTGGCAGTCAGCTTCAGTAAAGATAACAGCCTTGGAAACCCTGTGGGGCAGTTCTACTCTGTCTTACAGGGTCGCTATGAGTCAGAATTGACTTGATGGCAACAGGTTTGGTTTTTTGGTTTCCAAATTAAAGATGGGAAAATTGCAGCACAACATGGTTAAGTAACTTGCAAAAGTCACACAGTAGTGACAAAGCTAAAATATGAACTTGGACAGTCTGGTTCGATCCCTCAGTAAGCTTTGGAGCTGGCTGGTAGATCTAACTACCTTGTAAAATACTGTATCTATAAAAGTCTATTTTAAGATCTAAACATGGACTTACAAATGAACACTTAGATGCATCCCCACTTATAATTAGGCTTTTCTATATTCAAAGAAAATTTCTTTCAGCTTCCTTAGGAGTAATTGCAGCCTCAGCATTCAAAGAGCTGCATTTTCTTCTGTATCTGGAAGGGGAAGACCCCTATAGGTGGACAAACAGGAGTGTGGCTGCCCTGGCAGCAGAAAACAGGGTCAGACTGCCTCCCACTATGGACCAGAATGGACAGTTCACAAAATTACTCACAACTGACAGAAAAGATATTCAGAGTCCTTTAAATTGCAACACACTTATTTCAAAGAATCTAAGTTTTTAGGACTACCTTTAAAATTCCTATAACTCACTGTGGGGAATTAATGTTCTTTTCCTATTTCTCCAAAGTGTGGCCTTTCTTCCTTTACACCTTACACTGCAGCTGACTATGACATTAATGCAAAAGAGTAAACAGCTAGAATATCACAGGGGAATAAAAGAACACCAAAGAATGTGCAGGAAATAAAAAATGAGATAGGATAACTAACAAAGCCACAGAATTTACATGAAATACTTCAAATATCACTTTCTGTTACCTATTTTTATTTGAAACATAGCTATTTTTTCCCATTTAATAACATTTAGGATAAAGGATTCTTTGTAATATACACTTTTCTTTTTGTTTTAAGCAAGGTATGCTGACGTAAAATTTATATACAATAAAATTCACCCATTTTAGTGTACAGTTCCTAGTTTTGACAAATGAAATTTGTTATCTAACCACTACCACAATCAAGATATCAAACAAATCCATCACACAAAAATCTTCCCTCCTGAGACTTCCGGGCAACATGGCTCTATAGAAAGAAGCATCACTCCGTCCCTCCATAGCCAAGACCTGAAAAACTAAGTCAAACAGAGACAAACATCAATCCAGAACCCTAACCATCAAATGAATAGATAAAGAACTCAGCCATGCACCAAATGGAATAAGAAACTGACAAACAACAGAGAGCAAGGAGATATACGTCCTATCCGCTAATGCAGCATGAATTCGCTGTCTTGGACTCCTGTCAGATACTGGAAAATGGGGAGTATGGGAAAGCAGCTTCACAGATCTCCCAGCAGGAGACAGAACAACTGGTAACCAGCAACATATGCTTTCCCACCCCCAACCCTTCTTCACCCCCACTCAGCCTTGTCTGCTTCCTGCTGCCACAGTCTCTTGGCCAAGAAGCATCAGCTTAAGCCACTTGGATTCCACCCGCCCACAATGGCCAGCTCCCTGAGTGCCACTTCTTTGTTGCTGGCATTGTTTTTTTCCACTTCTTTTGGTTTCTTCCATACCTCTCACCACCTCTCCCTATTTTATCTCAAATACCTGGCTCTGTGTGCCATCTTTGCTTCTTCTAGTAAGGCTGGGAAATGCTGCTCAACTGTGGAACTGCTTCCCGGCCCACGCCGCCATGCTGGTGGGATCCCTGGAGCTTTTTTGATGGGTTGCTTGCTTGTTTCGATTTGTTCTGTTTTGTTTTGTTTGTTTCTTTGTTTTTTTCTTTTCTCAGCTTGGAAGCCCCTTCTAGCCAGGCTATACTGCACAGGCTGGGAGCTACTTCTCTAGTTTGTGCAGCCATGCAGTGGGATCCCTGGGGACATTTCATTTTTTTTTTCTTTTATTTTCTCTCATTTTTCCTTTTTGTCTTTGTTCATTTCTCAGTTTCTCATCTCTCTATACTCACCTTCTCTTCTTCTTTCCTGAACACCTGCCAATGTGTGACATCTCTACCACTTCTATATACTTCATGGCCTTGGAGCCACTTCCCCAGTCTTTGCAGTCACATTGATGGAATCCCTGGGGGCTTTTCTTTCCTTTTTTTTCCTTCTAATTTTTATTTATTTCATTTTCTTTTACCCTTTTTATTCTCCCCCTTTTTTTTTCCATTTCTCAATTTCTTGTCTATCCATCCCACAGCAATCTCCCATAGCACTCTTTTTTTTGTTTGTTTGTTTTAGGCTCCTGTTTCTCTCTCCTCTCTCTCCACTTTCCCACACTCATCTTACCTCTACACATTACAATCTCCCCCATACCTGCACCATGCGCTGAACATCACATCCCCAAGCAGCACAAGCACGGCCTACTGGAACCTGCCCTGCACTGATTCCTGGCCTGCCCTGTCGGTCAAAGTATATGCCACAAACAACCCATTCCAGCCACTCCCCTTCAGCTAGACCTGCCCTGCTGCCCCATAACTGAGAGGCTGACCCTGTCCATTGGACAAGGAGGTGAAAAGTATCATGCCCACAGATGAGCAAACAACAAAGAACGCACAGCATGCCTGCTCACACATAACCAAATAAAACAAAAAAGCAGGACAAAACAAAAAATCTACAATCAATAAATGAGGAAAATAACTACTGAAAGTCCCAAAGACAGCAGACAATATCA